ATTATTAATGATGATGGTGATGGTGGTGACTGATGAATGATATTATTATTATGATGATGATATGATGATGATGATGATGATGGTGATGATGATGATGATGGCGATGGCGATGATGATGATGATGATAGTGATGGTGATGTTGATGATGATGAGAGATGATGATATGATGAGACCGATAATGATGAATGATAATTGATAATGAGAACGATGATGATGATGATGATGATGATAATAAGAGAACGATGATGATGATGATGATGAATAATAATGATAATGAGATAACGACGAACGCCAAATAATAACAAATATAATTACGATGATGATGATGATGAGGATGATGATGATGGTGACTGATGATGATTATTATTATGATGATGATGACGATGATGACTACGATGATGATGAGAATGATTACGATGACGATGATGACGATGATGACTACGATGACGATGATGACGAGATGACGATGACGATGATGACGATGATGACTACGATGACGACGATGATGACTACGATGACGATGATGATGATCACATCTACATCGGATCCACCTGCACAGAATTCTCTCTTTCACTCACGTATCCCTCTGGCCTTTTTCGGCCATAAAACCCAAAACGGCTTTTCAAATATTTAACCGTCCCCCCTCCCTCCCCCCTTCCCCTCCCCCACCCTCCCCTCCCCACCCCCCTCCCCCACCCCCTGTCCCACGCCCCCTACCTTCTCCCTATCAAAATGTCTATTCTAATGACACTGTTTCATTTTATGGCTCTTTAAATACCGCTCACGTATTTTACCTTGACCCTCGCGCGCGCTCGCACCTCTCTCTCCCCTCTCTCCCCTCTCCCCCTCTCCCTCCCTCTCCCTCTCCTCTGCCTCCCTCCCTCTCCCCTCTCCCCTCTCCCCCCTCCTCTCCCCTCTCCCCTCCCTCTCACCTCCCCCTCTCCCCTCTCTCTCTCCCTCCTCTCCCTCTCCCTGCCCCTCCCTCTCCTCCTTGGATTTTCATTATAGATTTGTTTGCTTTTGTGTTTGTGTGTGTGTGTGTGTGTGTGTGTGTGTGTGTGTGTGTGGGTGTGTGTGTGTGTGTGTGGTGTGTGTGTGGTGGTGTGTGTGTGTGTGTGTGTGTGTGCTTGTATGCGTACGCTGTGCTTGCATGTTATGTATGTGTGTATATTATTTATATCTCACCTTTCCCCATCCCCTCCCACCCCTACCCCTCTCCCCCTTCCCCTTCCCCTATTTTCTCTCCCTCTCGTATCGTCAAATCTCCTCCCCTCGTGCCTTCTACGCTCCCTCCCTTACCCCTTTCTTTTTCCTCTTTCCCCTTTCCCCCATCCTCTCTCCCTTCCCTCTCTCCCCCTCACTCTCACCCTTCCCCCCTCCCCTCCCTCACCTCCTCCTGCTTCACCCCCATCCTCCCGTCCTTCCACCTGGAGCCAAATTTTCCCTAATCCTCCTCCTCCTCCTCCCTCCCTTTTTCTCATTCCCTCCTTCTTTTTCTCCTCCCCCCGCCCCTCCTTCCCCTCCTCTCCTCTCCTCCGTCCTTCCCTCTCCCTCATTCTCCTCTTCCTCCTCCTTTCCCTTCTCCTCCTCTCCCCCTTCCTCTTCTCCTCCCTCTCCTCCTCCCCTCCTCCTCCTCCTCCTCTCCCCCCTCCTCCTCCTCCTCTCCTCCTTCTTCTCCTCCGCCTCCCTCCCTCCTCCTCCTCCTCCTCCCTCTCCCTCCCTCCCTCCCTCCTCCTCCTCCTTCTCTTCCTCCTCCTCCTCCCCCTCCTCCCTCCTTCTCCTAACTCTTCCTCCCTCCTCCTCCCCTCCCTTCCTCGCCTCCTCCCTCCTCCCCTCCTCCCCCTTCCTCCTCTCCTCCTCTCCTCATTCCCCTCCCTCCCTCCTCCCTCCTCCTCCTCCTCCTCCTCCTCCTCCTCCTCCTCCTCTCTCACCCCTCCTCCCCTCCTCCTCCCCCCTCCCTCCTTCCCCTCCTCCTCCTCCCTCCATCCCCCTCCCCCTCCCCCTCCCTCCCTCTCCTCCCTCTCCTCCCCTCCCTCCTCCCCCTCCCCCTATCTCGCTCCTCCTCCCCTCCCTCCCTCCCTCTCTCCTCCTCCCCTTCCCTCCTTTCTCCTCCTCCCCCCTCTCCCTTCTCCTCCTCCTCCCTCCCCCCTCCCCTCCTCCTCCCCCCTCCCTCCTTCTAGCCTCCATCCCCTCCTCCCCCTCTCCTCCTCCTCCTCCTCCTCCTCTCCCTCCCCTCCTCCTCCTCCTCTCCCCTCCCACCCTCCCCCTTCCCTCTCCTCCTCCTCCTTCCTCCCTCCTCCTCCTCTCCTCCTCCCCCTCCTCCCTCTCTCCCTCCTCCCTCCTCCTCCTCCTCCCCTCCCCTCCCCTTCCTCCTTCTCTCCCCCTCCCTCCTCCTCCCCCTCCTCCTTTCCTCCCTCCCTCCTCCTCCTCCTCCTCCCTCCTCCGCGGGCGTTGCGAGGGCGCCTAAGAACATATGCGGTCGCCTAAATCACTCGGCGTG